TCTCTGACCTCCATCTTTAGCTAGGTGCTCTCTGACCTCCATCTTTATCTCTTGTAGCTGTTTTGGGTTGAAGGGCACCGTGCATAAAGGCTTTCTGGAGTTTTGGGGGTCCTGTAATGGTGGATCTAATTGAGAACTGTCTCCCCAGAGCCCCTTTCAGACTCGCACACTTTACACGTCATACTTTCTGCAAATGTGCTAACACCTAATCATGTTCATCTCATGTTTGTCTAAGCCACCATTTTCACCAACACAAAGGCCACAGTGGCACACAAATAAAAACTTTCAAAAGTCTTATGTTATTTTACAGTCGGGTTCAAAATAACTTTCACTTCCTATACAAATAGTCAGATAATTGTATTAAATTAAGTTATTTATATATTTACAATTCACAATGACATGAAATACCAATTAGTAAAAGCTATTTAAGGAATTTGGTTAATTGCAATCTCCCATCCTGAGCACCATGTTGGTGATGGCAAAAAGAAACAGTTCAATTCAATTCAGTTTATTTATATAGCGCCAAGTCACAATAGAAGTCATCTCAGAGCAGTATAACGAGCCAACCCTAACTATAGGATTTATCAAAAAGGAAAATCTTAAGCCCCGTCTTAAAACTGGCCAACGTGTCAGCCTCACGGACAGAAACTGGAAGTTGACTCCACAAAAGAGAAGCCTGAAAGAACTGAAAGAACTTTCTCCCATTCTGCTTTTGGAAACTCTGGCAACCGCAAGTAAGCCTGCAGTCAGAGTGACGTGCTCTGTAAGGAAAATATGGGACAATAAGATCTGTAATATAAGATGGAGCTAGGTTGTTGAGGGCTTTGTATGCCTAACTCCTTTAACTCGAACTCCTTTTTAACAGGAAGAAACCTGCAACAGAACCAGGTTCTGGGTGGCTGTCCTTATCCCATGGTCAGCTCTAGGGTTTGAGAGGACACGAAAGAGACACAGCGGGGCTGGTCCAGTTGTATTTTTTACATGAAAAATGGCTATTTTTAGTACTAATTGTGTATATACGACATATTAAATACATACAGTATGTAGAGAGAGTGAAGACAACAGACGGGAACTGTGGTCAGTTTGTTCTCCAGCAGACTTAGCCTATTAAAGCATGACTAAGGGATAGCTCCGGAAACCCAAGCTAACCCTTACTGTAGGATTTATTTAAAAAAAAAAAAGACTTCCGAGTCCAGTCTTAAAACTGGACAAGTTGGTTCCACAAGAGAGGAGCCTGATAACTGAAAGAGCTTCCTCCCGTTCTGCTTTAGTCCAGTAATGATTCAGTTTTCAAGTCTGAAAGGGGCTCAGGAATGATTCACTGCAGCTTTGTCCTCTTTAAATGAAAGCGCATTATTAAACCAGCTGCAGCTCTGCTCAGTGCTTTTATCTGCCGCTTCCTGCTCGCACCCCAACATGGTCGTAGTGCTACGTCTTCATACCTCTCCACTCATCGTACCCCAACAGAACTGTTTATAGTGAAGTTCTATTCACAACGTTGGGTTTATCTGGATGGAATAGACAAGTGATAAAAGTCGAGAAACAATACAAATATAATAATCTTGAATTCTTGTACAAAATGTCAGAACGGTTCCAGTTTCTTAAGTTATTAACAGAAATTTAATTTAATTTAATTTTCTTATTGAATATAAATCTTCATCTCCATCACATTTTATTTCACTTGTCTCTTCCAAGAGAAACCGATCAGTGTTTAAATTCATTATGAATCAAAGCTTTGAGTGGGAATGAATATTTTCGGACTGGCGTTAGTGGTTTTTATTGAACGGAGGATTCAGTCTGAGATAAAACTCCAACATGTCTGCAGTCATGTATTCATGTTCCACACACACTCAGTCATTTTACTGTCAAAGTCACATACGCGTGGGTTTTTGTTTTCATTAATGGCTGCTTTTTCCCTCTTTTTTTAATTTTTATTCTTAATGTTCGACCCCACTGTTTCACCCTGGGTCTCTGCAGATCAACGACATCAGATCCGTCAACTAAACAACAACTTGGCGAGTAGTTGGCTGCTGTTTTGAATAGGAGGGAGAGGAATGATCTGTAGCGTTATGATTCATTCCTACATTTCCCTCAACTCTTGTTGTAGTGTGTGTGTGTGTGTGTGTGTGTCGAGTGGTGCCTGTAGTTGTAGTTTGACCTCGACGGGGGAACTCCCGTCCTTTAACCTGCCAGTGTTCCCATCAACCAGCAGAGTCCCGCCTTTCTCCGATGTATTTTCTCTGTGTGAAGAAAAGACACAGATTGATGTTTTCTCAACTCTTTGACTTGTTAACGAAGCTTTGTGGAATTAAAGCAAACGTCTGCTCATGACGTTTTGCATGAAAGTGAATTAAATTAGTCCGATTCTTTGATTCGAAGAATAAAAAGTGTGAAGTCTCCAGAATGTGATGAGAAAAGTAAGAAGTGATTGATCCGACACCAATAATCCACCTTTGAACTTAATGATTGTTCAACACTGAGTTTAGTCCTAGTCCTCGTTGAGACATGAATATCTCAGGTTGAATATAGACGGTTGTTATCTCAAGCTGTTTACCTCCTATAACTTCATCTGTAAAGCACGCAAACAACTAAAATATGTAGAAGGCATGACTCAAGTCTGTAAATGATACAAGAAAACAAATAAAGCTAAAGAGCACAAATAGATTACAACACAAATTAAAAAGCTTAAAATTAACTCTTTAAAACCTCCAACACTAAATATGACGTCAGCATCTTCAAAAACCGAACGGTCACTGCAGCCAGGAGACAACAGTTAACATGACAATATATTTTTGTTTTAATCACTTTTTTACAGATGAAGTCGTGAAACAATAATTTTTATTAACGTGTCTTGGAAGCGCCAGACCTTACAGGCTCTGCGCTGACAAGAAACCTCCGACACATCGCAAAACATGCAGTTTAACTCGTCTTTCTTTTTTTTTTTTATCCTTCAGTATGATCATGATCATTAAACAGGGGCGGAGGCATCCGTGTTCAACTGTCCCCCTCTTACAATGCTGTTATTGCTAGCATCACTCAGCCCCCTGTGAATAGTAAACAGCCGTCAGGACACTAACGATCGATCATTAGGCTGCTGGTCCTTGATCATGTGAACAGCTGGTTCTGGATGTCAACATCAAACTGTTGATCCACTATGAGAAGGTGCCGCTTATAAGACTGAATTTACTGCAGCTCCTCAGGCTGAAGAAGTCTTTTGGATTAAAGCTGAAACGTTTCAACAAGTTTTTTTTATTTAATTTATTTATTTGAATCGGTCCAGAGGCCCTGACTCAGCTTTGTTAGACTTCAGTAAGACGTACAAATCAAGACTTGAACTGAGCCACACAATGTACAAATCTTCTTGTTTGAGCGTATCTTGTCAGTTTGTGCTAAATATAAACGCCTGTTTGAGGTTTAAATTCAGTTTGAAACGTCCACAAACCTTCACGTTTAGACTCATTTGAGCCCATTTTAGCGCAGATCTGGTGGCCCGGGGGCCAAATCAGGTCTACGGGTGTGCTTGGTTTGGCCTACCAGTGGGTTCATTTTTAAATAAAACTAGATTTTAAACCATTAAACAAACTAACTTGATGAGAATAACTGCTGGATGTATGGCCCCTGAGCTCTTGGCTTTCAGTAACTGTGGCCCCTGAGTAGTTTAGTTGAATGTATAGAATATGAGTAGTTTAGTTGAATG